TTCTGAAGATAAAATTTGAGTGGGGATGTTGACACATGTATTTAGCATTGGCTATTTAGTTACCTTATCTACTCTTTATTCACTTTCTCCTGATTTCCTCCTAGTGTTTAGCCTGAGTAATGCCTCAAACACCTGTCTTAAAACCATCAGACTCGCCCTAGCTGGTTTGGCTCAGTGGATATAGCGTTGGCCTACAGACCAAAGGGTCCTGGCTTCGATCCCTGTCAAGGGCACGTACCTCAGTTGTAGGCTCCTCCCCACTGGGGGCCCTGGTCGGGGTGTGTGCAGGATGCCACCAATTGATGTTTTTCTCGCACATCAATGTTTCTCTCTGTCTTTCCCTCTCTTCTACTCTTTGAGAATCGATGGGAAAATATCCTCAGGTGAGGATTAACAACAACAAAATAGTAATTTCTTTTTAATGTTAAAAAAAACACAAAAAAAAAAAAACGCCCTAACCGGTTTGGCTCAGTGAATAGAGCATCAGCTTGTGGACTGAAGCAGTCCTAGGTTTGATTCTGGTTAAGGGCATGTACTGTGGTTGCGGGCACATCCCCAGTAGGGGGTGTGCAGGAGGCAGCTGATTGATGTTTCTCTCATATGGATGTTTCTAATTCTATTCCCTCTCCCTTTTCTCTCTTAAAAAAAAAAAAAAAAAAATCAAATATATTTTAAAAAAACAAAACAGACTCAATCTAGATTAGCGGTTCCCAGTCTGGGACACACGCCCCACAGGGAGGCAATTTGATTTTTAAGGGGGGCAATGAAGAATGAGTTATTAAGTGAATTTTTTGCCTTTTTATGATTCTAGGGTCCCTCATATACAGTATATAAATATATATTGCTCATATTTATGCATCTCAGTTCTCTATTATATGTTTTGAAACTTTATTTGCTGTTTTTTCATATCCCTTCATATTATTATTTTTTTACCAATTTCTTGAACTAATACTTCAGCTGTCTTTTCATTCTTTTATTTTTCTCTTTCATGGATGCCATGTTCTTTGGAAGCTTGTTTAGGCTTCCTCCACATGAACAGGAGTTCACTTTTTGAGTAATAAGAATTATATGTCACAGGGAGAGCATCAGGATTTTAGAGATGCTTAGGTGGGGCATGGGCAAAAAAAGTTTGGGAACCACTGATCTAGATTATGGTTAACCACTGAATTAGATTATGGTTTAAATATACATGCTGCCCTGTCAGTGTTGTTCGGTGGTTGAACTTCAACCCATGAACCATGAGGTCACTGGTTCAATTCCCAGTTGGCACATGGCTGGGTTGCAAGTTTGATCCCCAAGAGGGGGCATGCAGGAAGCAGCCAATCTATGATGCTATGATGTTTCTCTTTTTCTATCCCTCTGACTCTTTAAAGATCAATATATATCGATCTTTATTTAAAATGGGATTTTAAAATGGCTTCTGAATTTTGGTAATGGTTTATATGAAACCATTATATTTCTTCTTCTTAAAACACTTGGCTTAGCCTTTACAGTCTTCTTTCAGCTAGGTAGTTTTGAAGGTGGCTGTATATAGAGTCTTAATATGGAACCCAGAGAGAAAAGGGAAACTTGTGAAAGGCAATGTTAGCTATTCTTTTCTGAGCAGCAAAACTTATGTAGGTGTTTTAAAATGGGATTGTTTTAAGTTCTGAACTGACTGTTTCTCAGTCACTGAAACTTGAAACTTAAAAATCTAACCTTTTTATTAACAGCTCAGAAAAGATCCAAATATTATCATAGCTAAGATGGATGCCACAGCCAATGATGTGCCTTCTCCATATGAAGTCAGAGGGTAAGTAGATTTAAAACTAATAAAAATGTGTAGCCAATTGACCAAAAAAAAAAAAGCTGGTAAGCCATTTTTTATTTGGTATAGTTTGGGAAGCCCTCATACTCCAGTTGAGCACAGAACCACTGATACCTTCCCTGGTTTAGAGTTCTGCAACATGGGCCCTACATGACTGTCACAGATTTGTGAGCTCTCATATTCCTGAGTTTTGGTTGGATGTAACCCTAGCCATTGATGGAGGCTGCTGTCTGGACAGATTAGAAATCATGGCCCTAGCCAGTTTAGCTCAGTGGATAGAGCTCTGGCCTGCATACCAAAGAATGCCAGGTTCAATTATGGTCCTGGGCACATGCCTTGGTTGCAGACTCCTCCCTAGCCCAGGCTCTGGTCAGGGAGTGCGCAGGAGGCATCCAATCAATGTGTTTCTCATACTGATATTTCTCTCTGTCTTTCCTTCTCTCTTCCACTCTCCCTAAAAATCAGTGGGAAAGTATCCTCATGTGAGGATTAACAAAAAAGAAAGAAAGAAATCATAAAGAGAAGTTACTCTAAGAAACAGTTATTAAGGAAATGTACTAGTATGACAGTTACTCTTGAACTGGAAAGTAGTCAACTCTTATTTTTTTCTTTTTTCCCCCCTTAGTTTTCCTACCATCTACTTCTCTCCAGCCAACAAGAAGCTAGATCCAAAGAAATATGAAGTAAGTGCATTGTCTCAGCTCTCAACAATAGACACACACATACTCACACAAGCTTGTACATATCTAGCTCTATTTATTTAACTGGAAACTCTTGCAACTCTCATCAATATATGTGGTTGTTAATGTGCTTTTACAAACTCAAAAATCTTACTAGGGGTTGGGGGGAAACCCAGGGTTCTTTAAATGACTAAATTTTCATGGTAATCTTTCTGTTTTCAGGGTGGCCGTGAATTAAGTGATTTTATTAGCTATCTACAGCGAGAGGCTACAAACACCCCTATCATTCAAGAAGAAAAACCCAAGAAGAAGAAGAAGGCACAGGAGGATCTCTAAAGCAGCAGCCAAACACACCACTTTGTAAAGGACTCTCCCACCAGAGCTGGAAAAACCATTCGGAAGGACTGGTACCCATATGGGATGATTACCTCTCAGGGCTGAGAGGATAAATGGATATTATCTGAATCTTGTTAAATTTTCTCTAAACTGTTTCTTAGCTGCACTGTTTGTGGAAACACCAGGACCAGTTTATGTTTGTGCTTTTGGGAAAAATTATTTGTGTTGCTGGGGGTGGGGGAATTGAGTTGGGGGGTTATTTTCTAATTTTTTTTGTACATTTGGAACAGTGATAATAAATGAGCCCCCTTTAAACTGTCTTTTCCATGAGATGGGAAACCAAAGGTTCTCTAGCCCAGCACTGTCCAATAGAACTTTCTGCAATAATGGAAATGTTCTATAACATTGTCTAAAACATGTAGCTATTAAGAATTTGAAATGTGTCTAGGAACTACATTTTAGGTTTTTATTAATTTAAACAGTCACATATAGGGCTAGTAGCCACCATCTCAGTCAGTACAGCTGTAGACCAACTATTTTGACTCCATAGTTTTCACCTATAAATCCTTCTCAAATGTTGTCTCTATCCTTACATGGTTATTGCCCAGGTCCCTAGCTGGATAATTAGAACAGGTGAGTGCCCTTCCTTGTTGGAATCTGTTCCTGACCCTGTCTGTGCCTTAAGGATGGGTTGCTGTTTGTCCTTGCCATGTAGCTGACTGGTTTATACCTTCCAAGAGCCGTTTTTTACCCAGAAATGCCCTCAGTGGGTGTGGCAGCAGGTTGGGGCTCCATCCAAGTTGTTTCAGGAATTGCTGACACGGCAGGGTGCAGCCGTCTCCCCCAAAGCCCAGGGTGTGGCCCATTAATTTTCCTTTCCGTGGATTGGGAGAGGCAGTATCATTCGTGGCTGTGAGTGAAGCATCCACTTTCTTATACAACAATGAGAAATGCATTGAACCATTTCCCCTCATCCTTCTTGTGAGTACATCCAAATCCTATCCATGATTATAGTTTTCAGTCACTGAATATTTCCAGATAGGAGCTCTAATAGTAAATGATCTTCAACCTCGATGTTTAGAAAAGGAGAACTTGCCCTAGCTAGTTTGGCTCAGTGGATAGAGTATCGGCCTGCAGACTGAAGGGTCCCGGATTCTATTCCCTGGTCACAGACTCCAGCCCAAGCCTGTTGGGGCACATGCAGGAGGCAACCAATCAATGTGTCTCTCTTGCATTGATGCTTCTCTCTGTCTCTCCTCCTTACTTCCACTCTGAAAATCAATGGAAAAATATCCTCAGGGATTAACAACAAAGAGAACTTTTTTTCTACTGTCATCTCTAGTTGTCAATTATAAGTTGGTTTTGGTAGAGACTTATAGCAAAACTAGAGGCCCAATGCATGAAATTCTTACAGGGGGCTCAGTCCTCACAGCCCCTGCTTCGAACAGTCCTCGGGCTGTTTGGTTAATTAGCATATTAGCTCTTTATTATATAGGAGGATATTTATCAGGATCATCCATAGTGTTTGAAGAAGTAAAGAAGCCTATCCATAATCTTGGAAATTCTAATTCACAAGACTGGGTTGGGATCTGGAGATCTAATTGTTTTTGAGAGCCCGGAAGTGGTTCAGACATAGAGCCAGGGGTAAGAACCACTGCTTTGGAAGAGTTAAGGAAAGCATGTAAACTTGCACAAAGGACACAGAGACCGTTTTGGTTGTTTAGCTGTGTTTGTAAAAGAATTCACTTTCAGTACATTGATAAGACCCCAAGCCATTCCGCATTACGTCCAGGTGTGTCACAGCTTCCTAAAAGTTACTGTTTTATTAGGGACGCTACCATTCTAATGTCCTTGAGGTATCTTGTCCCGAAAAGGGTGTCATTTCTTTCCTAAGATCTGCAAATGATTTGCTGAACTAAAGGAGGAGAAGCCAAGCCTCTGCTGCTTTTCTTAGTCTCCTGGGCACAGCTATAGAGTGTTGGCACTGTGCCCACACCCTAAAAATTAATATATGGCAACAATGAAAATCAAACCTTAACCTAGAGCAGCTCTCCTACTTGCCATCATGGATTCAGCGATAGCAAGAGCAAACAGTTGCTCTCTACTTCATTTACAGCTGTTTTGTCCTTTGCATCACACTGGACAGAGAGGGTCGATAGCTCCTGACCAGTTCAGCTGCCCCTGTTCTTTTCCTCAAACTCCAGGATGAGTCCTTTGATGTGGGACAATTTCTGATGCAGGTACTCACAGCGACACTTCTCTTCCCTGTAATCTGGGTACCGCTGCAGAGAAAAAGCATCCATGTCAAAAAAAAAAAAAAATTCATTTTTCCTTATTGCTAGCATTCCCAGACCTAGTCTTACCTTTCGGAACTTTTTATATTCCTGGACTATCTTTTCTTCCAGCACCTGAAACAAAGAAAATGCTAGCATCAAGTTTAATCTTGAGGAAAAAACAAGTTCTCTTAAGGGAAGGAAGTAACTTACTCGCATGCTACCAAATGATACAGAATAATTTTTCTCTTAAAACGGGCTTATCACACCGAAACCGGTTTAGCTCAGTGGTAGAGCGTCGGTCTGCAGACTGAAGGGTCCGGGTTCGATTCCGGTCAGGGGCATGTACATTGGTTGCGGGCACATCCCTGGTGGGGGGTGTGCAGGAGGCAGCTGGTCGATGTTTTTCTCATCGATGTTTTTAGCTCTCTATCTCTCTCCCTTCCTCTCTGTAAAAAATCAATAAAATATTTAAAAAAAAAAAAAAAAAACACAAAACAAAACAAAAAATAACAGGCTTATCACTTTGGTCACTGAAAAAAAAGGGTTTATGGCCAGTAGAGCTGGGAAGCCATCCCAAGGCCAGTCCTTACCTTGTGTTCTGGAGTTCCTTGCTGAACTTTCTTGATCTCTGCTCCCAGCTCTAGGAACCTTTGGCTTGCAGCCCCAAATCGAGCATGCAGGATGCGGTATTCAGCATAATCTCTCTCAAAGTCCTGCTCATAAGCATGTTGCTGCTCTGCAGTCTGGATGGCCCCATATTGCCTGCCAGGAGCAGATTAGTTACCACCTTCAATTTTATTACCTGCCAAAGCCCCGAGCTCCCAGGAGGTTCATCTTAATATCTCGTATGCACAAGGTTTGATAAACTTAGAAATGGCAGGGGACTCACAGGAGGTAATCTGGTACCTCTTCAGGGCTCGGGGATTCAGAGCCTATGAAGGAAGGAAGAAGACCTGAAGGTGATTATCAATCTTTCCCCCCCACTGTGGCACTTTCATCCTCTTCTCATAACTCATTAACTCACCTGCTTGAACTGAGGGACTGTGCCCCAGTCTGGGGCCCAGGTCTTCATGTTTATTTTCTTGCTCCCAATCTTCTCCCTCTTGTAGGTTTAGCGTTCTGAGCCTCTTTTCTTTCACTTTTATAGTGGCTGCAGGTGCCGGACGCTTCTGTTGGGGAAAATACTTTTGTCACACTAACAGCATGTCAAGAAGCCTCCTACTCTGTGCCCCCTACTCTCTTGTTGAAAATTATTTCCATGTAATAATCTCTGCTCCCATCAAAATGAAGGCTCCCAATTTTAAAATTTTAGCCAGATTGAACAAATCTCTGAAAAACTGTTACAATTTACCTTGTTCAGATGTTTCTGGCTAGCAGAAGGCAGTGCCTGGTCAGGCTCTGTGTTTGGAAGACAGGGCTGGTTCCTAGGATGTTTGAAAAGGGAATGGAAGAGATGAAGACCAGAGTAGGAGGTAGAGCTATTGATAGATTTCTTATTGTACCACTTAGGGTGGAGACTTGAGGAAGCGTTTCCCCGCTTAGTCCCACTCTGCCCAAGTACCTTCCTTCCCACTGTGCCAAGTGTTCCCTCGAGGATCCTGGGAGTGACTGTCTTTGGCTGCTTGCTGGTGGGTCTGGCACCTGGCAGGGAAAATGGCAGTGGCACTTGGCTCCCTGGGCTTCAGGCTTTGCCCCACCTTATCCCAACTCCCAGCGGTTTCTTCTGGCCTCACCTCTAGTGCCATCTGTGGCTGGGAAACTCCATCTCTGGAATAATCTCCCATGTTCTGCCAATTCTCAGGCTCTCTGGAATCATCAGTCAGGTTGTGTCCCTGACCTGAAGATGGGACTGGGATAGAATCCATGGCTGCCCAAATACTGAGGCGCTCCCTGAGTGGCCCCAGGCAGTGGAGGCGGTGAGGCCCAGGTCTGGAAAGAGGTGGTGGCAAAAATAACAGGAGGGTGGAGAACTTTTAAAGCAGCTCTGGACATCCCCTTCCTAGATTTCCCACAAACCCTTTCTTACCTGCTTAAGGGTTGGCACACAAGGTCCAAGCCACTTCCAGAGCCCTCCTGGCCACACTGGGACACTACGAAGGAGAAGAGGCGGGAGCAGCCAGGGCCTGGCAGCCTCAGATACTGGGGGTGACAGGAGACCGGTAAGCCCCATGGAGCCAACCCTTCCTCCTCCTGCCAACGCCATTCCTCCCTGAGCCAGCCTAAGACTGAAGGTGGGTCCCCGGGGACTCGTTAGCACACCAGGTGCAGCTAGGCCCGAGTTCCCAGGAGGCTGAGACGGCCCAGACTCTTCAACCGCAGCCTCCTGGGACCACAAGCCCAGCAGCCCCCTCACCCCATTCGGGTTCAGTTCTCAGGAACTTCTTCAGACCGTGACGGCTCTCAGCTTCCCGCCCTGAGCCCGCGTCTGTTCTCCCCGCGCGCACCCCGGTCCGCTCTTACCCCGCGGCTGCCTTGGAAAGCGATCACCGGCCGGACCTGCAGGGAGAGCACAGAGGCAGGCTGAGCGCAGGTGCAGCCGCGACCCAGGCCTCCCTCCGGGGCCACCGGGAGGGGCCGCGCTCGCTCGCGGGCTTCACTCGGAGAAGGTGGGAGGTCGGGAGGCCGGCGGGTGGACGCGGCTCCCCGTCCCCAGTCCCTCGGCCGAGGCCGGAGCGGAGGGCTGGGGTCCGGGGCAGAGGGGCTCCGCGCCGCACCTGTTGCCGCTGGCACTCGTGCAGCGCCCGCAGCGCCGCGTCGTTGAGCCTGAGCAGCAGGAGGCTGGTCCGGGCCGCGGGGGCGAAGCAGAGCCGGAGCTTCCCGCTCAGAAACTCCTGGGGTCCCGCCATGGCCGTGAGGTCCGGGCAAGCAGAGCTGGAGCCACACGCGAGGGCCACCACCAACTACTTTCGCTCTGCTCTGCGGGCGAGACTGGCACAGCCGGTAGCCCAGGTCGGTCCCGCCCCCGCCAGGACCCCACCCACCGGCGCCACTCCCCGAGTTCGCGGCTGCGGGGCGGCGCCTCGCTCTCTCCAGCCTCCCGCCCGGAGCCGCGGGGACCCCAGCCGTTTCTTTTGGGTTTGTCGCGCCCCTCAGTCTGGGCTTTTGGCGGGGGCTCCCTCGGTGCCCGGGAGGAGGGCTGCAGCCAGCCTCAGACTCCTCACCCAGAATCGCCAGTCCCGCCTCGATTTCCCCAGCAGACCCCAAGACGGCTTTGTTTCCGTCTCTAAGCGAAGCTGACCTGCAGCCTGGAGGCTTTCGGGCCCAGAGGGGCGGGCAGAGAGCCTGGTTGCCAAGAACCCCCAGCGTCTGGAGGATGGCAGACCCACTAGGGGATTGCTGCTTCCACACCTGCTGCAGCACTTTTGCTTTTTTTCCGGCCCCGCGGTGCTGATGCAGATCCGAAACCAGTTTCTAACTAAGGAGAGAGAGAAAGTCGGGCCCCCTGAGTGTCGCGGCAGCGGTGAAGCTTGGTTGCTGAGGGTTGGAACACCCCCATGGGTTAAACATGTGAAACTGCTGTGAAAGGGAGTTGGCCCGCTCCCTCCGGGGGACCAAGAGGCGCCACGAAGTTGCCAGATAGTCCGTAGGTCCAGATCCTGGTGCAGTGAGACCCCGAGCCCAATCTCAGGCCAGCCCTTGGTGTTTCCACTCCTCCCTACCCATATAATCCTATGTAATAAAACTCTAATAAGCAAATAGACCCAAGGGTGGAAGGAGCTGTCGTTATGACCTGCACTGACCACTAGGGGGCAGCTCGCTCAAGGCAGGAGCTGCCCCCTGGTGGTCAGTGTTCTCCCACAGGGGAAGCGTGGCTCAGCCAGAAGCCTGGCTCACAGCCCCAAGGAGTAAGTAGCAAGCAGGGATCCCAGACTGCAAGAGGGTGCACCCAGAGAAACACCCCCTCCCCTGGTACACCGATTTCATGGACCAGGCCTCTAGTCTGGGTATGTTTTCTGATGTTGTTCGCTTTTCTAACCAGGATCCCTCTGCTAAATCTCAACCTGCATAATCCCAGGTGACCTTAATCCCTTTGCCCCAAATCAAATTGACTATAGTACATTTGTCAAAACTCATCAAGTTGTATTTAAAACGTTATATATTTTAATGCATGTAAATTATACCTTAATAAAGTTTACTTTAAAAATCTGTATAATAAACCTCCAACTTCCACAACAAAAACATTTACCGGTTCATGTCCTCGGGGCCCTCTACTACCGTACTCTGGGTGACAATTTGCTAATCAGATAAATACTTGTGGCACTGGGTAAAGCTGGTGTCCCAGGGTTCCTTTTCTTCTCAGAAGACTTGTGTGGCCTTTTGTTAGATCTTCCTGGATTAAAATGGGAGGGTGGGAAGGGTGGAGGTGGAAGAAGACATAGAAGGGATAAAAAATAATAATAACAAACAATATTCTAGGGGGAGAAGAAGAAACAATTGTAATAATCTGAACAATAAAGATTTATTAATTTTTTTAAATGCAAAAATAAATAAATAAATGGATGGATGAATGAATGAATGAATGAATAAATAAATAAATAAATAAATAAATAAATAAATAAATAAATATGATTGACTAACAAACTGCCCAGCACTTACTGGATAAACTTGGTGAATAATAAGACCTGCTTTTATTAGAAAATGAAAGGAGAGACAAGAGTGGTGACATTTTCCAGAAAGGAGGGAAGCATCAGTTCTATAAGAGGAGGCAACAGGGGAAGATATTTGTTGAAGGGAGATAGGGATGTAACATGTGTTGGGTTTCCATTGTTAGGTGTCAGGATCTTTGCCCATTATTTAATCCCTGTAATAGTTTTATAGAGCAGGTATTGTCCACAATTTTCATACATTCATTCAACAAATACTTATTGAGCTCTGTACCAGACGCTGGACTAGATCCTTGGGCTACCTCAATGAATAAATTCTTGCTTTGGGAGACACTAAACACACCTAACAAATAAGCATTAAAAAAATAGTGTAGCCAAAGTCAGCTTGGCTCAGTGGATAAAGCATTAGACTGCAGACTGGAAGGTCCCAGGTTCGATTCCGGTCAAAGACACGTACCTTGGAGCAGGCACATCCCCAGTGGGGGTTGTGCAGGAGGCAGCTGATCGATGTGTCTCTCGTCGATCTTTCTAACTATCTCTCTTCCTTCCTCTCTGTAAAGAAAACCAATAAAATATATGGGTCCTGGCCAGTGTTGCTCAGTTAATTGAACATCATCCCATGCACTGCAAGGTCACTGCTTCGATTGCTGGTCAGGCACATGCCCAGGTTGCTGGTTCAGTCAGGAGGCAACTGATGGATGTTTCTCTCTCTCTCTCTCTCCTCTTCTTTCTCTAAATATCAATAAAACATATTTTACAATATAGGTATAGGGTATGGGATGTGGAGGGAGGTTGAAGAGGGTAAAGGGGATCAAATATATGGTAACATGGCAGGAACTGACTACAATAGAAAGGGTCAATGTGGGGGAAGGACATATGTAATCCTGTCAGCTATAAAGATCTTTTTAAAAATATGACAGGAGATGAGACTTTTGGGTGATGGACACACATGTAGTAGATAGATGATGTATTATAGAATTGTACACTTAAAACTTAATTTTATCAGCCGAAACCGGTTTGGCTCAGTGGATAGAGCATTGGTCTGGGGACTGAAGGGTCCTGGGTTCGATTCTGGTCAAGGGCATGTACCTCGGTTGCGAGCACATCTCTGATGGGGGATGTGCAGGAGGCAACTGATCAATGTTTCTCTCTCATTGATGTTTCTGACTTTCTATCCCTCTCCCTTTCTCTCTGTAAAAAAATTAATAAAGTATTTTTTAAAAACTTAATTTTATCAATGACTGTCACTCCCCCCCCCCCAATAAGTTTAATTAAATAAAATAGGGTATGTTAAAAGGTGTTAAGTTGCCCTAGCCAGTTTGGCACAGTGGATAGAGCATCAGCCTTCTGAAGGGTCCTGGATTTGATTCCAATCAAGGACACATGCCTGGGTGCAGTGTGGGGTGTGCAGGAGGCAGCCGATCAATGATTCTCTCTTATCATTGATGTTTCTCTCCTTCTCTCTCCTTTCCTCTCTGAAATCAATTATATATATAGTGATAAGTGCTATAGAATAAAAGAAAAAATAGAGCAAGCTAAGGGAGGTTGGAAGTAGAGGAGGGTTGGGAGAGTTGACCATATATTAAGTAAGGTGATCAGAGAAGGCCTTCTGAAGAAGATGAAAATTGAGCAATGCCCTAAAGGAGGCGGGGGAATTCGCTAAGCTATACAGTTGGAGGACATGCTCTTCAGAAGAGGACATGCTCTTCAGAAGCCACTGCAAACTCTAAGTCACAAGTGTGCTTGAAGCGTTTGAGGAAAACTTGAGGCCCTTGTCACTGGAACAAAATGAGTGAGGGGAAGGGCGTGGTAGTAAGAGATAAAGCCAAGAAGATAAGGAGCAGAGGGGGTTAGTCGCGAAGGGCCTGGTAAACGTTGGCTTTTACTTTGAATGAAATGGGGAGTCATTGCAGGATTTTGAGCAGAGGAGTAACATGAAGTCACTTCTATTTTAAAAAGATCACTCTGGCTGCTGGGTTAAGAATAGACTAGGGGAACAAGGATAAAAGCAGTCTGACCTGTTAGGTGGCTATAGCAGAAATCCAGGCTAGAGATGGTGGCAGCTTGTACCAGTGGATAACAAAGCAGGTGGGAGAAGGGATAGGGTTTTGGTTGTGTTGAGGGTAGAGATTTTCCTGGTGGATTGAATGTGGTATGTGAGAGACAAATGTCATAAGAGTAACAAGGAATGCCCTGGCTGGTTTGACTCAGTGGATAGAGCATTGGCTTCATGTCAAGGGCACATGCCCAGGTTGTGGACTCAATCCCCAGTGAGGGGCATGTGGGGGGGGGGGGGGGCAGCCTATCCATGATTCTCTCTCACCATTGGTATTTCTCTCCCTTCCTCTCTGGGCGGGGGGGGGGGGGGGGGGGGGGGGGGGGGGGGGGTAGGCTAGCAAGGATTTGGGACCAGAACAACTAGAAAGATGAAATTGTCATCAACTGAGGAAGGGAAGCCTGCATATGGAATAATGTTAGTTCTGAATATGCTGCATTGTCCTAGAATCCACATGGGATGTGGAGCAGGCATTTATATAATCAAGTTGGGAGCAGGTGAAAGATGTCTTGGGATAGAGATGTAAACTTGGCACTACAAAACATAACACGTGTGTTGCATGCCATTGAGTCAGCTCCAACTCCCAGCAACCCTAGGAAGAGGGCTGTCCACAACGTCCTGTCCTCAGCAGCCCTGCTCAGCTCCTGTAGAATCATGCCCATGGCTTCCTTTATGGAGTCAGTTCCTTTCCTATGTGATCTTCCTCTTTTCTTGTTGCCTTCCGTTTTTCCAAGCTTTATTATCTTTCCCAGAGAACCCTGGCTTCTCACGTTGTGCCCAAAATAGAACAGCTTCAGTTTTGTCATTTTTGCATCCGGCAACTTTTCAGGATTGATTTGTTCTAGTACCTACCGTATTTTTCGGACCATAAGACACACTTTTTTCTCCCCAGAAGTGGGGGGGAAAAGTCCCTGCGTCTTATGGTCCAAATATAGCCTACACATATACTTTAAAAAAAAAGTTTTTTTACTTGCCCGGCTCTGTGTGGTCTCTGTGTGCTTGCCCGGCTCTAAAATGGTTCTAAATGCTGCTGTTTACTTTACAGGGTTGATTACATGTGTTTATGACTGTGATGTTGGGTTTTAATGCACATAAAATATTTTAGGGCACTATTTGTTTCAGAATCTTTTTTTCTTCATTTCCCTTCTCTAAAAACTGGTGCGTCTTATGGTCTGGAGCATCTTATGGTCCGAAAAATATGGTATTTGTCCATCTTTCTGTTGGCCTAGGCCCGAATATCCACAGAACTCTCTCCAACACCAACTTTCAAATGAACCATTTTTCCTCCCTATTGGCCTTCTTCACTGTCCAACTTTCACATCTATATATAGTAATTAGAAATATGAGGGTGTGGATGATTTTACCCTTGGTCTCTAATGACACACTTTTGCTACTAAACATATAGATGATATTTAAAGCCATGAGGCTGGATGAGATCACCCAGGAAGACAGAGGAGAGCCCTGGCCACTCCAACCTCTAGAAAGAGGTCAGAGTGAAGAAAAGAAAAGCCAAATGAAAGGAAATGGCTAGTGAAGAAGGAGAAGCACCAAGAACATCAAGAGAGTTCCGGGCCTGGCCGCTACCAGCCTGGCAGCTGCTGCTCTGAGCCTGGCCGCTCCCAGCCTGGCAGCTGCTATGGCTGGAATTTTAGTAAGCAGGGAGTGAGAAGCAGAGAAGAGAATTGGTAGCGGGACAGGCTGGAAACTTGCATTATCCCCTAGAGCCCGTGGTCCGCAAACTGCGGCTCTTGAGCCACATGCAGCTCTTTGGTCCCTTGAGTGTGACTCTTTGGCTCTGAAAAGAAATTTTAATTGTTGTCTTGTTGATATTTGGCTCTGTTGACTAATGGGTTTGCCGACCACTGGCCTAGTGTCTCTCACAGGAGAGAAGGAGAGGGATAGAACTGATGAATGCTCGCATAATACAAATACAGTTCAGCTGAGCCAAGAGAGAACAGAGGTATGTGGGAGGAGGTGCTGCTTTGCTCATATGTTCACAGAAGTAGGTACGATGGGAAGAAG